TGTTAAGTATGTAGCTTCTCAGGAGAGAACATGGGCAATGTTCAGCAAGTAGCTTCTCAGGAGAGAACATGGGCAATGCTATGTAGATTCTTAGGAAAGAACTTGGACAATGCTAAGTGTGTAGCTTCTCAGGAGAGAACATGGGCAATGCTAAGTGTGTAGGTTCTCAGGAGAGAACATGGGCAATGTTCAGCAAGTAGCTTCTCAGGAGAGAACATGGGCAATGCTAAGCGTGTAGGTTCTCAGGAGAGGAATCTCACACTTATATGGACATAACTGGCTGGATGGTGGTGAGATTCTCCCATGAGACAAGTTCATTGTCAGTGTTCAAGCCTTTCCTGCTTTTTGCCAAAAAACTAAATGTGGAGTTGTGATTATTCATTTATTACATAAAAAACACAGTCAGTGGGGCCTTCCCACAGACGCAACAAAGTTTGTTGTCTGTGTGTGTGTAACCTGTGTGTGTGTGTGTGTGTGTGTGTGAGAGAGAGAGAGAGAGAGAGAGAGAGAGAACTTAATAGGAGAACAGTCATGTAGAAGCTCCTGGAAAGAACATAGAGGTTAGTAGGTGGGACTTGGATGTGTTCTAGTAGGAAAAGCGTGGATGGCAACATGCTGTACTGGGTGGGGCCTGTATGATGCTGGCCAGGGATAAACACATCTCTGCTGGCAGCCTGGCTTACGTGTGACAACGTGTCGCCTTCCCTGACATCCTGACATCCCTCTTCACCCTTCCTCACTTTCTCCCTCTCAGCCTGAAATCTGGTCTATCTGACCGAGTCTGGTTGTAACTCTTCTCTCCTTCAGTTCCTGCCCTCTCCGTGCTGGGAATTCTGCCACGCCGGGCTGCTAGGACGCCCTAACCCAACGCTACATCTGGCTCTGGCTCTGACTTCCTTTCTCCTTCTTTTTCCTTCCTCAGATGGCCTGGGCCCCCTCAGTCAGAGGATGATCAGGAAGCACATTCATATTTTCCTTAAACTTTCAGGGACCTGCCCATGCGTTCATGCAATATTGCTGTTTGGATTGTGTGTGTGTGTGTGGATTATGGTTATATTACATTGTGGGGACCAAGTGTTCTCCACAATGTGATAAAAAACCTGTTATTTTGACGGTTTGGGGACCATTTTCCAGGTCCTCACAAAGATCTGTGAATGCAATCAAAATTTTTGTTTGGTTACATATGGTTAAGGTTACGGCTGGGTAGGGGTTAAGGTTATCATAGTTAGGATTAGGGTTGTGCCCATGAATGGAGAGTCCCCACAATGATAGGGATATATGAACTTATGGTGTGTGTGTGTGTGTGTGTGTGTGATAGAGACATGACATGAGTGTCTTCAGAGTAAGCGCTACACACTCTGACAGTTATTCGCAGTATACAGTTATGCACTGTAATTTCTATATAACTACAACTGCAGTGTAATCTCTACCCACAGATATCACTACAGTGTAGTCGTGGGACACTTTTACAGTTATCGCTGCAGTGTGCTCGCTTTCTGCTTACAGCCACCACTGCATGGCAAATCCTGCACACTCCTTTGCACAGTTACTCTAATGTGTCTCACACAGCAATCACTGAGCTCAGCATTCTGTGACAATCCCAGTGATCCCGCAGCCTCCTTTGGTTGTGTGCCCTGAACAGTATATGGTTTGTGATTCCTGCATCTGGGGAAGCACTTTCCTCTCCCTGGGACCTCAGAGTAAACAGCCCCCTGGCCACTATGGGCACTCAGATTCCTCCTCTTCAGTCAACACTGACTCATATGGCCTTTCCACAGTATTTGTACAATGCAAATGTGGAGCCTTCACTGCCAAAGACATCCAACTTGTTCCTTAAAGGAGAAGCTCATACTGGCCAGGAACAGTGGAGTAACGGCAAGCCAAAGAACACAGTAAAATACACATGCGCAAACATACGTATTTACCTGTTATTGTGGGAACTGCACCTTAACTTACGATACAGTTCCTTGTTTCATTACTCCGTGCCCCCCACCCCAACAACACTGAAAAACTAATGAAAAGTAATTTCTAAGTTTTCCTATTTTTAAAAAATGAATATCACCCGTTTTATCTTCTAGCGTTGATAGGTTAGGAACACTAACACATTCATGCAAATTCATTCAAAACTCACAAATTACATTACGCTGAGATTTTCCCACATACATCTGCTTGGCTGTTCGCTGACAATCCATGTTAATCTGCTTACAAAGCCGGCTCCTGTCTGAAACGGTCTGTGGTGATGGCTTCACTGTTAGACTGTTAGACACTCAAACTTGTTAATAACATGGAATCACCTTGACTGGGATGTTATAGATCTGTTTGTCTATTACTTACCACCATCCATTTGACTGGACCCTTCTGTACACACAGTCACACAAGCCTCTTGCCTCCACTGGCTGACATCCTCTAATAAACTAAACATTACTAACGTTATCTTGTACATGTCTGTGAGGTTGCTGTACACATTACTAACGTTATCTTGTACATGTCTGTGAGGTTGCTGTACACATTACTAAC